GAGCGGGATGGACAATCATCCCCCCTCAGTGGCTTTCAAAGTGCAGCTTCCCCGGCCCCCTCCCCAGCAGAACACGCACAAAACAGCCCTCTGGCAGGAAGGAACACACGATGCGGTTGTGAGCAGTGAATTCCCCTTCCTAGAAACTCATCTTCCTTCTTTTAAAACAGACAAATGTTCTGTCCTCCATGGGGCCAGAGATGCATTTTCCAGGTGTAACGCCTGCCCCTGCTGAAACAGAAATGTGGGGAGGGGGCGGGAGGCGTAGTTCCCAAAAGGCCTGAGACCAGGGCAACCAAGGGACTCTCCTCCCACGAACAGATGGACTGAGGACACAAGGTAGAGATGGAACACTCTGTCTGGGGTAGTGATGCTCTGTATTCTTGGTGCTTGGGAGACCGCAGTGGGAGGGCTTCTGGAGTTCTGGCCCCACTGGTGGACCTCCTGATGGCACCTGGGTTTTGGCCACTGTGGGACATAGAGTGCTGGATTGGATGGGCCACTGGCCGGATCCAGCATGGCTTCTCTTACGTTCTTATGTCTGAGGCAGTGATGCTCTGTATTCCTGGTGCTTGGGGTGCAACACTGGGAGGGCTTCTGGAGTCCTGGCTCCACTGGTGGACCTTCTGATGGCACCTGGGTTTTGGCCACTGTGTGACACAGAGTGTTGGAATGGATGGGCTGTTGGCCTGATCCAACATTGGCTTCTCTTATGTTCTTAAAACAGCCCTTTTCTCCATGCAAGGCCCAGCCTTCTGAGGTCAAGTGGACACCCACGGGAGAAAAGGAAACTTCTACAGTCATGCCCAAACCCTGCCCACAGGAAGGTTTTCCTGCAAGGTAACCCTCTGCCAAGGCAACCAGGGTCCTCTTCTCTTGAACTCTGGTAGCCCACCTGCCAATGAACCAATTCGGGTACGAGACATCCCTCACTCTCTATTTTTGGCTCCTCTATTAATTTTGGGTCTCTGCGCTGCCTTGCCTTGATCCCATTTAGGGGAAAGCAGAGTACGGGAGATTGTAGTCAAATGCATTATTATCCTACTGGTCTGTTATATGCCACTACCTGCTGACTTAACTGATTTCTACTGACAGCTTCGATGCTTCATGGGCGTACTTCAACCATAAGCCACTTCCCAAAGCTTTGTAAGAAAGGGGCACAACACAGTTTCAAAACACATCTTGCATAATAGATACGGGTTCCAGAATGTAACTTTTTTTGGTTTTGGATGGCACAAGTGCAAAATCAAGCTATTTCAGCCTGGGCCAACCAGGCAACCCTTGGCTAGTTTAGAAGCCTGCTTCTGGAACCTTCCTGGGTCCCGTGAAAGGCGGTGCCTCGTCAGCTTCGCACCCTGAAGTACAATCCTGGAGGTTAAAAGGATCGCAGAAATTCTCAAGTATCTTTCTTGGCCTGAGACCCTGGAGAGCTGCTGCCCGTCAGACGACGGTGCCAACCTGGGCCTGGTACGAGGCAGCCTCACAGGCGTTTCCTGCCTCTTCAGTGGGGGAGGCAGGAGGGAAGACAAAGCCCTGTGAGGAAAGGCGGAGGGACTTCTTGGGAATGTTCAGTCTGGAGAAGAGGAGGCTGAGGGGGGGACAGGATGGCTCTTTTGAAGTATCTGAAGGGCTGTGTCCCTTAGAGGAGGGCAGGGAGCTGTTCCTGTTGGCAGCAAAGGAGAGGACTCGCAACAATGGGTTTAAATTCAGGGTGGGAAGGTATTGGGGGAGACTTTTTTACAGTCAGAATTGCGCAATAGCAGGATCGGCTGCCTGGGGAGGTGGTGAGCTCCCCCTCCCTGGCAGTCTTTAAGCAGCGGCTGGACAAACACTTTTCGGGGATGCTCTAGAATGATCTTGCATTGAGCAGGGGGTTGGACTGGAGGTCCTGTATGGCCCAACTCTGTGATTCTGTGATTCTACTGGGTTTAAATTAAGGGCGGAAAGGTACCAGCTGGATCTTAGGGGGAATTTTTTTTTACAGTCAACGAGTTGTACAACTCGGGAGGTGGTGAGCTCCCCCTCCCTGGCAGTCTCCAAGCAGCGGCTGGACAAACACTTGTCAGGGATGCTCTAGCCTGATCCTGCCCTGAGCAGGGGGGTTGTGCTGGATGGCCTGCGGGGCCCCTTCCAACGCAGGGATTCCCTGATTCTAGGAAGAGCCCGGGCACGATGCCCACAGTGCCCAGCTCAGGGCTGGGGACACCAGGGACACCTGGTCAGGCCTCTTCTGACTCTTTTCTGAAAATGCTTCCTGGCTCAAGACTCACCCCCACCTTCCTTGAGCAGGGCAGAGCAGAAGGAAGCTCCAGCCGCCCCACATCACATCTGAAAAACGCTGTCCAAAGAAAACTCCCTCTGCGCTCGCTGCAGAATTCCTCATCGCAAGTTGCACAACCCCACCGGCTCCAATTAATGGCAACAAGCTGTTAAAAGAGCATGCTAGAAATCCGGCTGAAACTTAAAACTGTGTTTTATAGCCGGGTCCCTCCCCAGCTCCCCTTCCCTCGCGGACGAGGCCGCAGAGCGAGGTTGGCGGATTCCTTTTTTCCCCGCCGTTTCCAGCGAGGTTGCCTAATTAAGACTAAAGGGAACAGAGGAACCGGCTGGTTCAGCTGTCCTCCTTTCGTGAAGACCCGATATTTTGATTTATTGCAGACGGCAAAGAGCCGAAAGCCCGACACTTGCAGAAACAGAGTCCCATGCCTGGGCTTAAATGTTCCTACACCTGGCGGCCTGCTGTGGCGTTAACGTGCACCGGACGGAGAGAGCGAGGTCCAACTGCAAACGCCGTTTCCCCGGGGGCTGCAAAACACACTTTTCCGTAAGGCTGCTTAGCAGACAGAGCTGCCCCCGCACCTGCTCTTCTGCTGACCTAGTTTACACCGTGGCCACAAGTTCTCTCCCCCTCTCTCGCACACGCACGCTAGCGCTGCCCGAAAAGTGCTGACGGAAGATGTGAGTCTGGCTTGCAGAAGGCAAGGCAGCTCTGTAGTCTGGCACGCGCTGGAGCCCACGTGAAACGGGATTTGCACCAGTCTGCCATCATTAACGGGGGAGGGGGCCAAAACGGCTGCTGGGGATTCTCCTCTGCAAACTGAAGAGACTCCTGAAGAAAGGCCCATGATGAACAGACCAGTGAATTGGCCACCTTCCTTGTGTCTCCAAGGCACTGTGTGTGTGTCTGTGTGCGCATAGTGGAATGTCTTGACAACCGTCTCAGAAACACCGCGCACTCCAAGTTTAGACCTGGGAAAATAATCCCAAACCCAGAGATTACTTGGGTGCCTGCAAATTCAAGAATGAGCATGCTCAACACTCCTTTTTCCTGCCTGGATCTTTAAAACTCGGGTACACACATGAGGCTGAGCCCCACATAGCAGACCCCCCCCCTTCCCCGGTAAGACTTCAGCAGGTCCCTTCCAACGTGCGAATGCTAACCCATGCAGCACTAACAGCAAGGAAGAGTGGGGCAGAGATCCTTTGACATTTAAAGATCCCTGAGACACGGGAGCCGCAGGGAGAGAGTGCACACCCAACCCCCATTCCAAAACCAGACAAAGCTCGTATTTTGGAAAACAGTAGGGGGGAATTTTTTTAAAGAGTTCAAACTCCTCTGTTTTATGAACGCCGCTTTAAGGCTCTCGTGGTCAGAGAGCGCAGAACTAAGCAAATGAACCGAATACTCCCTAAAAGCACTGAGATTGCTGTAAATGCTTTTCTGAAAGCACTAAGCAATCCGTAGCCGTAAGATCAAGAACACCGCACATGTCTCAAGATTTAAAAAACAGCCTGGAGGACTTAAAAAATCAACCAAAAGCCAGCTGGGAGAAGGGACCTTTTCAAGCTTCCTCTGACAGGTGGTTCCACAGTTTAGAGTCCATCACAGGAAATGTCCCATTCCTTGCCATCACCAAATCACCTGCCATGGTGATGGCGCCACCGCAAGCGAGGGGTGGCACCCTCACAATAAACGGCACTCGGGCTTGCATAGAGACGGACAATCCCACCGGTATGTGGGACTCGGGCTGTGCAGGGCTTTAATGGCTAACATCATCATTCTGAATTGGTCTCGGGGGGGGGGCAGGTGGGCAACGCAAACCATGTGGAAAACAGAGGGTGTGACCTGAGCCACGTGAAGATACAGAAATCAGAGCTTTAAGTCTGTTTTAGGGAGCCGTGACTCTATCCAGTTCCTGCATGACGATCTCTACGCAGTAACATCCCCAGACACAGTTGGAAGCTCACGGAAGGGAAGGTTTTGAACAGGTGACCCAGCTCTGAGAGGTAAACTCCTGCCACCAGAAATCCAGGGGAAGGACATGACTCCAACCTGCATTATGGTTTACCTTCCAACCCATTCCCTGTGGGCTAACAAAGAGCTCAGTTTTGTCTGTATTGAAGAAAACCACCCTGTTTAGGTCGGAGGAAAGTTATGTCCGTCAAAGACACTTCTGAACTCTTGCATTCACTGCTGCAAGCAAGTCAGGGGCTTGACTGGGACCTAGCTGTCACGGCAGGACCAGGGGGCGTGACACAAGCAAGCAAAAGTCCAGGAACAGTCCGAGGTCAAGCCGGGCAAACCAGGTAGCAAGGTTCAAGCAGGTTTAAATCACAGTCCAAAAGCAGGGTCAGACATACCAAAGTTTCAAATCCATAAATCACAACAATACCAGAGGAGTCAGAGATGAACGCAGGGTCAACAAAGCCGAAGGTCAAAAGCCGAGGATCAAGCCGAGAAGAATTCCACAAGGTCTGGAGCAGAGATGCAAGGATTCAGGTCCTGAACAAACGACGTTGCCAGCACAAATGACTGCTGGCAACAGACTTGCATATATACAGTGCTAGCTAATCAACTCATTAGCTAGCCAGGAGTGAGGACAGGATCCTGTCAGTAATCAGGGCTAAGAGATCTTCTGGCACGCAT